ATTAAAACTGTCTATGTTAGTACCATAAAATATAAATGCCATTTAAAGTTACATAAAAACAAAGCAATGTTAGTGGAAAGTATAATATAGGTACTAAAATATTATTTGACCCCTTCTGAAAAAAATCTGTAATTGAAGACTGTTTTTATACCCGTTTAATTCATCAATTATCAAAATTAGATTTTTCACTTCAGTTTCTACTAAAACTTTTATGACTTGCATATAGTCCTTTCAAATACATTAAGAATTCTTTTTTTTTTTAACTTATTTTTTTCTAATTCTTGAAACTTGAGAAATTTCAAATGAATGTGCCATTTTAGTTTTGGATTTTTTGAAATTTATTGTTTCCAAAATTCACTGTTCTTTTCCCCCTTTAATTCAAATCATTCCTTTTTGCGCTCAGCTTGTAACCAACTCAGAGTTATTCACTGGAGTAATCAATGTTTATTCAACTGTAGAGAATTACACACTGTATACTAGTGTGTTAGGTTTTTCAAACTTTTTCTTATCAAAGCTAATAGAGCACTAGGAGGGGACAACAAGTCTTGATCCCAAAACAAATAACTTTGTACCTTTTTTGCATTCTAAATGATGTGTGAGTGAAGTAAGTTAAAAAGGGGTAAAACCCCCTTCATTTACTTTAATGTATAACTGGCAGCAAGATTTGATTAATTTTTCAACTTTATCCCTAACACCCGTTTAGACCAACTAATGAACAGGAAGTCTCTATTGAAGTGACCATCTATTCTATCCTTATCTTAACTGAAAAACGGAAATTCCATTTTGGCTGGTGAAACATTTCTCAAAAATAAGCAAATTTTTTTTAATTTTAGTACCTTTTCTTTATGCAATTACGCGGGGACAAAAACCAACAAATATCCATTTAAACGGGGAAGTTTAACATTACTTACATATAAAATGATTTGGTTCCATTGAATTTTATTCGTATAAGCGGGTTATTCGATTATCCGATATGAAACTAAATGGGGACAACTGTATTTTTTTGCTGTGAATACATATGTATTTACTTTTTATTACTCAAATAAATAAGAAACAATAAAAGCAACAATCAATAATTTTGATTTCAGCAGAATATTCTTGATTTCCTAACAAGATTTAATACTCAGCTAGCTGACAATAATTGTAAGTTTTCTTTCAATAAAAACTTGACAATAATATAAAAAGGAATTTTATTTTAAAGGAAAGCATAAATTAAGGTACTAAAACAATTGATTAGTATATTAATGGAAAAATAATATACGTGGTAGCGTAAAGAATAAGATTTTGAGAAATGTTAAAATTTAATTAAAAAGCTGGTAAAATAATTCTGTGAAAAAAAGTGCAGACAGGTAGTTAACAAATTTATTTTAAGATTAAGATGATATATAATATGTTGAGAAATTTTAAGATGCTTAAAAATGTTGGCTACGTATTTGTATCAATAATTATAAAATATAGAATGTAGAAATTGATAAACATATTATTCCAAATCTATGCATACATTTGTATGTTATTGAAATTGTATCAATTATTGAAAGAAGAAACTAAAAATAAAATTAAAAAGAGCTGATGTATAAACCCAGTCTATCAGAAACATTCTTTTATAAAACTCAACATTTGTTGAATAATATGATTTTGAATAAAATGCTCTCCTGACCAAACTAAGAGGACCATTTCCCCAGATTGCGGCAACCCCCTTTATTTTGAAGATTAAGAATCGAAATATGTTTAAAAAAATGTATGTTTATTCAGAGAAAGTATGTTGTGTCTGATTTTGTAACTTAATTAATAGTTAGCACTGAATAATTTGCATATTTGAGGTCACCCCCCGCAACCATTAAGATTGACACTTAGTACACGAAAATCCGATTATTAGAACAAAAGTTATTCCGGGTGATATCTTTTTTTTTTTGCCGACTGTACATAGTAAGTAAATATATATTATGAAATATAAATGTATATCATAGTTATATATTTTATTAGATATAGTTTCATTTTATGTGAACTAATTTTCAAACTGTCTTACCATTATCATCGATTTTCATTGACTCTGGTTTCTGTGAAACAAAGTTTTATGAAGTTTCAGACCAAATGTCTAGAGATTGGTTTTGTTCAAAATACCATTAAACCTAAGCAAATTCTGTGTTTTTTAGATTAAAGATGGTAACTGACTTTTGTTTAAAAAAAATATTTGACTTGAGTTTGAATTCTCACAGCTTGTGTTTGCAAATGGAAAATCAATGACGATAACTACTAAACTGCTTAGGAGATAAGGGCTATTATGCTTATCACTGACGTATAGGTGATGTAAGATGAGAAAAGAACAAATAAATATGGAATAATAAAATTTTATTGATGATATTTGTCTGCAAGAGAAAAAAATGAAATTTTGAGCTTATTTTACTGACAAACAAAAAAATTATATAAAATGAGTTTTATTTAGAATTATGATTTTGGCAATATCTCACACCTACAAAGAGTGGAATTAAAGGGAATATCTATAAGGGACTGCATTTCTTCAACTTTTTTAAAAGAGAGTATTCCAACTACTAAGTTGTTTATGAGGGAAATAAGCTACTAGAAACCCTTCTCCCGAGAATATCCCACGCATTTTCCATTGGGTTCATATCTGGAAAATATGCTGGCTAATCCATTCGAAGGATTTTTTTCTCCAAAAGTATAAGTAAATTATTTAACCCTTTTATTGTAAAATTAAATTAGTAAGCTGAACATGATGTTGCTTGATTTTATTATCCATTAAGAGGATTAATTTACTGGTTGCTGCAGCTTAAAAGAGCACAATAGGTTTTTGAGGATTTCATCTCTTTAACACTGAGCCATTAATGTCCCATTCCTGTTAATGTGCAGATCAGTGTGGCCAATTCGGACCCTCTCATGCTTAAATTCAAATTTATTCAGAGATCCACGTTCATTTCAGGTAATAATTTGCCTATGTCAGGTTGTATTCAGACATCCTTGAAGATCATGATGTTTCTCTCAACTCATCTCCACCTGAGATGTTTCTATGCTATTCTACAAGTAGCACTGTGATTTGTCATTAAAACACAAATTATAGATGAGCAAGCATACAAACTTATACGGAATTGGTGGTTGTAGTTGAATCGAAATTCTGGTGTCTGTAGCCATTTAAAAGTGCTGCTACAGTAAAGTCGCATTCATAGTGTATCCTGACTGTTAGTGTTAAATACTGATCTTCATTTTGTGTGGTTGTAGATGTATAACCTTCTGATATTTGAGTAACATTTGCAGTTTCTAAAAATCGATTCCTTTATCTGAAAATTACATTTCAAATAACTTCCATTACTTCCCCCACTGCAGATTGTTTGACTCGCCTATAAATGACCAATGTCGTTCCAGGTTACTGATTCAGTTAATTTTTTCTGAGACATTGTACTCATTGGCACAAAGTATTTAATGCATATCCATTTGTTTTCAATCTACTTCTACAGAAGGGATATTGTAGGTCACTTTCTACTCTTTTTCTTAATGATGCTTTGTTTTTGATGCCACTGTCAAAATTTGCATATTCTCAACTTTGTTGGTATTATAATTTTCTTTTTAACCCCCTTTATTTCTTTTCTTTATGAATAGTGATCAATTTAAATTTAGTTTTTTTAATATCGAACTCACAATATTCCCCAATTTTTTTAGTAGTGTATAAATTACGTATTAGAGTTAGTATTCAAAAAATTCAATAACTTTTAAGAGCTTTTTATGGTAGTTTTATTGCATGAACCTGATAATTTTTCATTTATGAATTTAATTGATCTTAAATATAACTTAAATAGATATGAAGCATAAAATTGATCTTACATCAAAATTCTATCTTTTGTAATGAAAATTTGTTAAATATAATAATATTAATATTTTTATTCTTTGAGTAAATAAGAATTTTGTTATGGTGAAAAATGTATTTTTTTATGTATTTTTAATTTAATTCCTATTTTATGTAATGTAAAACTAAATAAATAAACATGCTTGATTTCAATACTCTTTCTTATAAAATGGATTAATGCAATTATAATGAAGTTAATAAAATCTACTGGAAAAAGAAATTTCATTTTTTTCTCTTTATTCAAATTTTTTTTGAAAGATTCAACATTATAAAAATACCTTATTTTAAGCTCACATTTTCATTAAGCTATATTAGGTGACGATTTATTATATATATCTCACATAGTTATTTACCATCTTAAATAGTCGGATTTTATTATGAAAATTCAAACGAAAGCAAGAACGTAATGGCTTTCTCAGAACAACGATTGTAAATGAACGGCTGATGGGCAAAGATGAAAACGAAAGTAAGCGTTTTTTGCTGAAAAATAACTTAACAATTAGCTTCTTAGAAAAGTAATAAAATTTTTTTTGGGAGTTATAAGGGATTCTGAATGTATTAAGATTTTAAAAGACATTGACTGTAACTATCCATTAGCAATTGTTTTTCTTTTGAAATAGAAGTTATAGATCTAATATTGTACAGAAAATCCATTTTGCAAAAAAAGAAAACAGTTTTTTTTGTGTGAGACACCTGAAAAAAAGTTGCGAGTTTATTTTAGGCTTAGTCCACTTTGGTAAACACTTCTTTATAACACTATCCTATAATATAGGGAGTCACATAATTTTCGCATGCTACTTTTTAGGTTTTTCTGGGGAATATGTGAGAAATTTTTTTCTTCTTTATTTATCTTTTAACTGCATTAAAGTCCACAAACTAGTGTCCTTTTTATTGTAAGAAAGATTTTAAAATGTAAACACTTCTATTTAAAGTTTGCATATTTCACATGATTTATTCCTATAAATTAGTATTCATTACTTTGTAAAGTAGTTATTTGTCCAAATTTTCATGAAGTAATTTTTTAAAGGCAGTGATCTTTCTGCAAATTATTATAATACAGTAAGATAAAATATTATTTGGAAGATTGTTAAAATTTTTATAATAATTTATAAAATTATGTTCAATCTAACATTCAATTATTCAGGTATCTAGAACTCAGTCCTCAGGATCGTGCCAAAATTGAAGGTACACCAAAAGTTGCTAAGAAGTTAGAAAGATTACGAAGCAGAGGTACAAGCAACGATTCTGGATCTATTCATTCTGGCTCCAATAATGATGATAATTTTTCCGAAGATAGTAGTGTGGACAGTAATAAAGGAGATTATGAATCAAATTATAGCTCCTCACCATCGCACTCACTTTCAAACTATCGGGTTGCAACTCCTGAACTATTGCTGAATGGTAGCTCAGAACTGTTTAATAGCTGGTCTCCTGATGAAAGTAGTTGTAGCCATGATTGTGCTTGTGACTGTCATAAAAAGCTCACTGTATCTCCCCAGAAAGCACTGAGTGCTCAACTTAGTAATTCAGCTTCTCAAACTTTGTCAACCGGTGACATTGTTATCACCAAAGTTTTCTTTTCAGAAAATGAAAAAATCAATGGAAGTAAAGCTTAATTTTTTTTCTATGATTGATATGCTGAAAGATAAATGTTGCTATGCAAAGCATTCCAAAATTTGATTGTAAGTTCTCTGATTTTTTTCAGTGCTTGAAAAGTTCTTTTGTCATTTAAAATGCCTTAAAAAGATCTTCTTGCAATGTAAAAGAAAAAAAAAAATTTTAATTGCAACATTTAAATTTCAGTTTATCTTATTTTAACTTTTATTGACACTTTATGTCACAATTTATTGTAATAATAGTTTTACTTAATATCAGAAATCCCATTTTAAGTTAATAACATTTAATAAAGCATAAAATCAATTTTCTTTGGCTAAATGGGTGTATTGAAATAAATGTTTACAGTTTTTATGTTACGAAATCCAAAATTATTTTACATGAAAACTGTGTTAACCTTTACTAGCATCTTATGATTTACAATCTTGTTGATAATGATGAATTAAAATTGTGATTGAACATTAATGTCAATTTCATATTATTATATAATTTCTTATCATATAGGATTGATCACTCTTTGTTGTGATGCAAATCATATTTTGACAAGTTTTTATTCATTTTCCTTAATCCATTGGCGGTTAAGTGAAAGAGCAAATTTAGGAGAATATTTCTCCCCTATCTACTATTTCTTTATCGAAGTACATGGAAAAACTGGTTTTGCTCTGCTAGAAGACTGCAGGTTAAAATTCGGCTTTTTACGTGCAGAACCATCAGTGGGTTAAGTTTGTTTAACCTTGAAATACTAAGATAAGTTATGGATCACTTCATATTTATCAAATATATTTTAGTATATTTGTTATAAATTTGTATTAAAATCATATTAAGATATTAATGATTTCATGATATAAAAATGATATATCATTGATGATAATTATTCTTCAAAAGTGATTAAATTAAAAATATAATTACTTTGATTTTGTGAAAAGTATGGGCTATTTTATTTATTCATAATTTTTTTGGACATTTTAATTTATATTTTCTTTTTTGTTTTTTTCCCTCAAATTTAATTTAAAACAGTGAAAACTTTCCAGTAATTTAGCTATTTAAATAGAATGAGTCTTGCTTTTTTTCCCCATCATATATTAAAATAAAGAAGAGGCTATCATTTCCTAGTGATAGAAAGCTTCATCCGACAATTTAAATAAAAATAATTTTTTTTTAAATAATAATTTTTTTTAAGACTTTTGATTTTATATTTTTTATTTTTTTTCCTTCTAAAATTCAATTCAAAAGAATGAAACCTAGAATTTTTTTTCCCCACTACCTTAGCTATTTAAATAGAATGAATCTTGCTTTTTTTCCATCATATATATGTATTTTAAAATGAATAAGAGGCTGTCATTTCATTATTTCCTAGGAATAAAAACCTTTATCAGAACACTTCATGAAGTGTTCCATTGTGATCCATTGTTTTGATGAAATTTTCGGAAATAATTCTTTGTTTAAGATTGGTAACAGTTAAATAAATTCTTTGATTTTCTTCACAACAACAGAGGTACCTTGGTAGAGATTTTCTCTACCCATTTTTCTCTCTTGCCACTGTAATAGAAATTTGTATTGTTTCTAAACATGGAACAATGTTTTTGTTATTTCTAAATAATGCGGCTATAAATTTTACATTTTATTTATAAAGTGGTAGCTAGACAGACTATAGTGATCTACTAAATTCAAACAAAAAATTATAGAAATTGTATTGACAATTTTAGCCTGGTTTTACATTTCTGTTTTAGGTTATTAGTATTTTAATTAGATTTATTGTTTTGTTGCACTGCAGATTTTATTTATTATATATTATGTATATATTGCGTGATATTAACTCTTTAATCCAATTAATCATGACAGATATTATTTATAAATTGACACTCATTACTAATGACTTATTTGCTCCTTTATTGATAAAAGCAGCTATATTATGCATGCATATTTGTACACATATACTTACTGACCTCATGTATTTTTATTTATTTATTTTTTACTTTTTGGAGTTGCATAGAACTTTTTATGACTTTTAAAGCTCTATTCCTTCATTATTATTAACCGGATTTTTAGCTGAAGATTCAGACAATCATTTTGTTTCATGGTCTTTCTAATAATTGAGTAAATGTAGTTCATGTCTATTGCTTATAAGTAAAACAGGTTCTCAAGTAAGAATATTTTCATTCATTTATTGATATTTAAATCCCGAAATTAAAATTATTTGAAATAGGCTTGTAGTAGATTATCTATAAATTATTCTCAAGCTGAAAAAATAAAGTTATGATTAGATTTCGGTAAAATTCTTGCTTGATGTGACTTGATATTATTTTAAAAATAATTATAAAGTAATTAACTTGCAATACAAAGTTTTTCACTTCATCTAAAGTCTATCCATGTATTTAGAGCTGTTGTGTGTTGGTGAAATATTTTTGGTAATATTTATATAAATGTCAATTTTTTGTGCTGATTTCTATAAAAATAAAATAAATAAACAATAAATAGAATAATGGCCTATTTATAATTTTTTTAAATCATAATGTCTTACAATTTTAATTTTTTTAAATGTACAAAATTTAGACTGATAGGATTAACTTACACTGCTCTAATTTCAATATGTAATGAATATTACTTCATATTGTTGGAGTTGAACATTAATAATAGATTAACTATAATATATAAAATGTATAACATTGGATAACACATGAATAAATGTTAAGTGTTTTAAAAAGGAAGCTGACATTATTTGGTGTAATTATTTCGTACATGAAAACAGATTTCTATTAGTTTTCTTTGAAATAAGACTGCTTCTGAAATATGTGACAGCACTTCAGACTGAAATGCATGTTTGTTGTTTCAAAAGTTTGCTGGAGTAAAATTTATAAGCTGATTCTGACTATATCTTACATGGAGATTCCAAATCAATTGTTAAAACAGTGTTTATCAACTTTTGGACGTAAAGTCAGACTAATTTATGAAACTTTTTACTTTCACAAATACATAAGCGTTTTTGTGTTTGTTGTTCAGAATTTTTAAAAGTCAACTTTACTATACTGAGGTAGAAAAACTTTGTTTTTCTCTCTGCTCTATGTTTGAAGATACAATGCTGCTAAATTATGAAATATTTGTTTTTTAAACTTCAATTGCTTGAAATTTTTAAACTGATTTTGACTTTTATTTGTCATGTTCCTTTCAGTTAAAATGAAATTTTCCTTTTCGTCTTTAGAAATTCTGCCTTTTGGGATATATTTTCTTGCTCAAAAGCTTAGATAAATTACCAAAATTAGGTTTGTTCAAGAAATCTTTTTTCAGATTTGGAACCTTTACCCAAAATGTAGCAAAATATAACACCAAATCATCAATAACTACAAAAATTGTTATGGTTGATATAGGTTTATAGGTATAGTTGTACTGAATATCCAACTAAAGAAAAAGTTAATAAAAAAACTCAATCCGTTTTGAAAATCTGGTATCCATTTTGAATACAATGTCAAAATCAGGCATCAAATAAACAAACAAATGAAAAAAGTTGCGGGAAGTGTCAAGCTTAATATGTACTAAACTTTATAATAAGTTATAGGCCAATAAGAAAATTTACTTTAGCTATAAAACTTTTTTTGAAATATTCAGAAACTATTTGTCCTAATTGTTAATGTGGGAAAAATGTATGCTTCTTTCCTTATTTTTCAGTTTATAATTTTAAAAATTTTTTTGAAAGTGATTTACAGTAGAGCCCGGATTATCCATGGATAGCAAAAATTGTGGATAAAATCTCAAAAAGTAGGTGGAAACATGAAAAAATAATTTTGAAACGTAATTATTCTAATATAAACATATAACAGAAATCTATGTTCTACATCTAAATCACTTAAGCAACAATTGATAAAGAAAAATTTAGTACATCAAACTTCATAACTGATTTTATACATAAATGTTCATATATAAAAGTGTTCAGTTACATTTTTTTTAAGAAAAGGAATCAATGATCAGAGCAATCACTCGCAATATAATTTTTGATGTCTTCCCGCAACTCGCTGATAAACTGCACTGGGGATCAACTGTTTATACTAAAAATGTGAATTAAGTAAGCCTGTTAAATAAAAAAAAAAATCATTGGTAACATTTCCTCTAATTTTCTTATAGTTACTTGGTTGTGTGTGAAAATTTTTCAAACAAAAATTATTGAAATTGGTAGGCAATTATCACGGAAATAAAAGAGATGTTTGTGATTTGTATCACAGAAATGGATAAGATATTCTAACTTTTGTAAGGCATCGGACATTTAATACCTCATAGTGAGTTGCAGTCGACTGTTTTGGTAAGCTAATCTGTGTATTTCTTGCCAGTGCAATTGGTTAATGAAAGAAAAATTAAACCTGTCCATAAATACCAAGTTTTTTCACGTTTAATTTTGTTCTTTGTATTTACCACTTTTTGTGATACAAATAATTTTTATTTAAAATTATGTGTGCACAGCTTTGAATTCATATTAGTTATATTTGTTTTTAAAATTTTTTGAAAATTAAAAATAACTAAATAAAAGATTCCGCCACTTTTTAGATATTGAAACAATATTTTAATTTTGTCATTCTTAATAAAACAAATGCTTATTTAACGGCAGCATTTACTAAACAATGTTGACAGCCCTGAGTTTTAAATATTTAACTTTTTCTGAATAAATGAGTTTGAAGTTGAACAATGCAGTATTTTTTTTTTACTGAGCAGATAGCAAGGTGGTTCATCTTAAAGGAATCGTTAATCATTACTTTTATTTAATATTAAAATTTTTTCTAAATCTACTTTAAAATGTTCATAACTAGTCGAATTTAGCATTAAGTATTTTTATGAAGCTATGTTTTTTAATTATTTATTTTATTTATTTTTTTTTAATGGCCGGCACTTGGAGCTATTGTCCATTGGCCACAGAAAGTGCCAGAACTGCTAATTCTCTTTTCGTTACCCAGTGGGCACCTGTGGCGAAGCCACGGCGGTGGAACAGCGTCGCCCACGTCACACTACCACAACCCGTTTATAGGGTGGGTCACATTCGCACATTCACACACAAAGGAGAAAGGACATAGAACACAGATAGAGGGAAAGAAACATCCATGCCTTGCCCGGGATTCGAACCCAGAACCTTTCTGATGCAAGGACAGTTCCCTGCCCCCTACACAGACTGGTCGGCTGTTTTTTTAATTATATAAATGCATAATTTCAAGCTATTTATTTTTGTAGATTAGACTGAGGAACAAATTGTTTGTTTCATTTATATAAATACTTTCCTAGTACTCATACAAATATACTATAAATGCTCCTTCAAATGTAAAATTCGTTTTTCTCTTAAAGTTAATTTTTTTTTTAAAATGACATTTTTAATCTAATTATTGTCCGAATGCAGAAGTTTAAAATGTTATGTGTGACAGGAGGCCAAGTAATTGCTGCCTCAAACTTCTTTTGGAGTTATGTAATTTTGGAGGGCATATCATTAGTATTAAACTTGTATAAGATCCCATTCCCAAAAATGTCATACATGCTAGGGATGCTTCCCTAATATGACCTGTTAAGAAACTCAAAAAAACAATTCATAATAGGGGAGCGTCCCTAGCTGCATATGACGACATTTCCAGGTATGGGTTCATACGCAAGTTTTAATCCTGATGATGTTCCTCTAATTCTTTTAGAGGTTTGTCACAACGTTTACAATAAATACACAAAAGATATCATAACTCGGAGAGAGAGACTGATTGTAAACTTGAAATCAGGAAGGTGAAAATATTCAAGAGCTGTTTAAAAAATCTAATGCAACAGAAAAAAAAAGTTCCCTAATGTTATTAATAGTGTCTCAAGTGAAACATTATGTCTTAAGAATAATATATATTGGTAGGATTATTATGCAATTTTAATGTTGTATTTAAATCATTTAGCTAATTTTGAAGAATTAAATTGTTGCGCAACTTAAGTTTCAGAGGAAAAGTTAAGGATTGCTTTATGAGTTTTAAAATATAAGAGATTATCGCAGTTAGTATTAAAAGATGTGTTCAATTATATTGCATGATAGAGAAGTTAAAAAATAATAACAACCAGAGCTGTTTGCTGTCTTTTTGACATGAAAACTATACTTGTAACATTATTTTGAAAATGTAAATATAATGCTGTTTACAAGCGAGGGGAGTATGATTTAAAAATTGAACTGAAAGCAGTAATCTGAGATGGGTTCTTTTTTTAGATTTCTTTTAAAAAATAGTTTTAGAAAAACTATTAGAAGTTAATATTGATAGTAGGAAAACAATTTTATATTCTATACTTATGAAATATCCCATTAAATATTTTAAAGTTCCACCTTATTGTTAGTTGAAATTTATGCATCTCAAATTTTAATTAAAGTGCTTTCATGGTTAGAATTATAATTTATGTATTAATGAATGAAAGGGTGGAGAAATTTTTGCAACAGGGCTTCCTGAACTGAACCCCTTAGAAAACCTGTAGGGGTATTATTAACCAGTGTTACATGGACTTGAAAACAGATTTTATCTGTAATAAAATTGAAACAGGTTGGCTTAAAATTGATTTTAAAAGCCATGCCAAGTCTAGTCCTTTCAATGGAAAGCACTGCATTTTATTTGATTTAAAAAAAAGGGTAATGGTAGTAACTCTGAAAATTCTATGCTTTATTTTCTCTGAATAAATTATGTCATTAGTTCTTAAACTTTTGTGATAATTTAAAATTGTAAAAATATGTATAAATTTTTCTGTTTTGATTTTTTGGACATTGCTTTTTGTTTTTCTTGTTCCTTTTTCTATCTAATCATTACATCTTTAGGAAAAAATATTTTTTAAAGTGGATTATTTTAGTATTAATTAAAATTTTTTATCATAAATAGTTTCCAGATAACTAGTATTTATACTATTGGTTTTCAAAATATTAGTGTTCTGCTATAGTAAAAAAAAAAACTTAAGAAAAAGTACATATTTAATAGTTTTCTATTTTTTTCTTTATTTTTTTATTTTTTGAAAAGCAATTTAAGGCCACATGTTTTGTCACTGGTTTTGTACTTCTGTAATGACACAAAAATTATTATTTAACAGATATGATTAGTGTAGAGCGAAAGATTTACTATTGGGATCATATATAACGCTAACAATTTGGGTTCTAATTTATTCTCTGTCAGTTGAACTAACCTGCTTTGATGTTTGAATTAACTACATTTCTTTGTTAATGTAAATTTTTAAATTAAAAAAAAAGCATTTCTTTGTTTCTCTTTCAATTAAAAAGGTTGTTCAATTAAAAGTTATAGTAAAAAAGTCTTCCATTTTTTTATGCATATCACAATTAAAGGATTAAAGCACAATGATACAAAATGTTTGACTGTTGGAATTTTTTTTTAACCATTAATTTAATAATTGAGTTTAAACCTTGTACTATAATGTTTTAAAATTTCAACCATGAAATACTTGTGGTTTTAAGAAAAAAGTAAATAGCTGAATATTTTGTTGAAATTGAATTATGACCAAATTTGGTATTTCCACAGAATGAATATTGATGATTTGTTGAACAGTTAAAGCTGCCAAGTCAATAAGATTTCCAATTTTATTTTTTCGTTAACTTGAAAATATCTGTTATCTTATTTCCCTTAAAAACCACCTACATAATAAAGTAGCATTTCATAATTTTTTCAGTTAAATTTATTTATTCAGTTCATGTTTTATAACTGTAATCAATGCAGTTTAGATATCCATTTTATACTATTATGAAATACTTAAATTCTGTTATGAATAAAAAAGGTCATCTTTATTAATTTTGAATTTCAGTTTCATAATAAGAATTTTTTATAACTTGGATGGGATTTATTTCATGCAAATTTATCACTTAATAATGCCATAATATTGACTTTCTGTAAAACAAATTTGTAACTATTTTCTCTCTAAACTATTTCTTTGTATTGTTTTTATGTCTCAACTTTTTCGAAAACTATGTAGCTAATTATAATCTTGAGTGAAACTGTTTTGCCACAGATAATTAATTTCTTGATTCATAATATATATTGATTTCAGGGGCAAATGACTGGAAAAGAGTATGCAAGTTGGTTTTTTTTGCCATTTGCTTAAAGATTTCTGAAACACTTTTTATTATGCAAGACATTAAAATGATAGTTATCTTAGGCTATGAAGCCGTGACCTTTTTTAGACAAAGTCAAAATGGCATGAAACAAAAGTATTAGGATGACCAGAAAGTAATGTTTCTGCAGATATCAATTTTTGTTTATCATTTATCAGCTCCTTGTGAACTTCAAAGCCATTCTAATGATATTTTCAGATTAAGGTGAATTGTATGTCTATAAATAATTAAATCTTAATGTTGTTTTTTTGCATTTTGCAATTTTGGGGAAAATGCACAGTTAAAAACTAACCAGAAGAGGTGCAGGATTGTTATGTTTTTTGAATTTTTACAGAAGTAACTCAACATT